AGTTTTGACCCAGAAAGCGAAATTTGAATATCAGACACTTAGGTGCAAGATTATGCCAAAATTCCATGTTTTCCGTCCCGTTTTTGCTCATATCTCGGAGCCAAAATGAGCAAGAACGCTCATTTGTACATCATTCTAGAGAGAAATAAATGGCCTTTTTAGAAAGTGAACCATCGATAAGAAAATGCTGGCTGTTTTCTCAAAAAATGCTTGAATTCAAGAAGTTTTAGATTTGCGTAATTTTTTTTGAGTTGCAAAATCCACTTGAACATGACGCTGCTTTTTTCGAAGTTTCTCAAGAACCATTCTAGCCACAGAATTCGTTTTGGCATCGTTGGATAGAGAATTGAAAATTCGATTCAGTCGTAACAACGTGAGTGAGGAAATTCGAGTAGTTTTGACCCAGAAAGCGAAATTTGAATATCAGACACTTAGGTGCAAGATTATGCCAAAATTCCATGTTTTCCGTTCCGTGTTTGTTCATATCTCGGAGGCAAAATGAGCAAGAACGCTCATTTGTACATCATTCTAGACAGAAACAAATGGCCTTTTTAGAAAGTGAACCATCGATAAGCAAATGCTGGCAGTTTTCTCAAAAAATGCTTGAATTCAAGAAGTTTTAGATTTGCGTAATTTTTTTTGAGTTGCAAAATCCACTTGAACCTGACGCTGCATGTTCATAGTTGTGCGTTCAATAAAAACTAGTGTTCAGTCATCGTTAGGAAAATTGTGATCAGGATTTGAAAGAAACTGTTGCGGGACACATTTGCATTGTGTTTTTCGAAAATAAATTTTTCAGAAACGAAAAATTATCTAAAAGATTGAAGTGATGCATGCGTTCAGTAAAGAAGGACGCGCTCTAAATGCCGTCAAAATTTCCAACTCATCGTCCAAAAAAATTTTACGGAAAATTTGAAAAAACCTTGATGGACACGTTATGGATCGCGTTTTTCGAAAACAAATTTCTCAAAAACGAAAAATTCTCCACGTTCCGTTGTGCGTTCAGTAAAGAAGAGTGTCTTCTAAATGTCGTCAAAATTAAAAAAAATCGTTCAAACCACATAAAATCCTGCATTTGAGCGCTTCGTAAATGTTGATTTGAAAGAGAACAGTTTTACGCAACAGCAGATTCTTCAATAAAAAATTCCAACTTCCACAGTAAAGCCAGTAGAAGCTTGCAAGATTGACATGCTGTAGAAGACGTTTTACGCAACAGCAGATTCTTCAATAAAAAATTCCAACTTCCACAGTAAAGCCAGTAGAAGCTTGCAAGATTGACATGCTGTAGAAGACGTTTTTTTTAAATAAAATTTTGACATCAACTTGCCCCTAATGTCTCATATTCAAATTTCATACGAGTTTCTGTGATAAATCTACCAGAATTTACTCACGCACGTTGTTATAACTGAATCGAAGTTCCAATTATCTATGCAATGATATAAAAAAGAACTCTGTGGCTGAAATGGTTCTTCGATTGAGCATTTAAAACTGAACAGGCAAAACCAAAACTCTTCACTTTTTTCACAAAAACATTAAAGTGGAACCCATATTTGCATATCTGAAACGGTTCTTTAGCAAGACACGCTTCAGATCAGGTTGATGTAAAATTACAAAAATAAAGCCGCCCAAAATAACTCAGACACGATGAGTTATAACTCATTAGCGCACAGAGCGGCAGCAACTCAACACAGTGTTACCCATGCCTGTCGTCTAGTGTCTAGCGTCTTGTTTCATGAACTCAACACAACTCAGAAAACATTTTTTAACTTAACAATCGTATCACATCACTTCGTGTCAATTACTCGAATGCTTCTTTTGCTCGTTTATGTCTGATCCCCAAAAAAGACCATTTTCTGGCGCAAAGTGCCCTAGATTTACAGGCGTAGTTTTATTTCGATTTTATAGGGTTTTAACTTTTTAATTTGGCCGCCAATCTGTCGGAACGGGCATTTGCTGCAGAGACCATAAAACGATCATTCAGTCATCAATGAGTTTGATTTTTCCGATAATAGACGACCGTTCCATTTTTCCTGGATAGGGCAATAAATGGAACGTTTATGTGTCTCTATGTGAGACGGTTCAAATTTAACTAGAGTTCGGTCTCTCGGGACATTCGCCAGAGCTAAAGGGCGAGAAGTTAATAATGCAAGAAGTTGGCCGAATTGAAATAAAATATCCAACAAAAAGTTACGTCTTGAGTAATTGTTTATACATATACATGGGGTAAACGTGGATAAGGCTTTTGGAGTTGGCAACAAATAGGTCACAAATACATAAAACTAACTAAAATTTATTTAGGAAAACATACGCATATAAGCAAATAAAGGCGGATTTTATAGTCGTTTTGTTAATTACTACTAGAGTTTTTGCCACAATAAGCTCAGTAAATCCATATCTAAATCGCTACTTTAAGTTCAATGAGGGAAGTATAGCTTTCAAACTTTTTAGGAGAGAGCATGGGGATAATTTTCCTTTCGACGGGAAAGGAGTGATTCTTGCCCATGCGTTTTTTCCTACCGGAATTCGAAACAGCGTCGACGTTCACTTTGATGCCGATGAAAGCTGGACAACTTCTGGAGACAGTGAACAGGGTAAATATATTCAGAATTTTTTGTCGAAAACATGCAAACAGCGGATATAGAAGTCACAAAAATAAGTAGGAAAGTGCGTATAAACGTTTCAAGCCGGCTATCGCTTCGTTTCCGAAATACCAGGTATTGAGATTATATATTTTTGCTTGTTTTTCTTGAAACCTGCAGTTGCAAGTTAAAAAGTTTAAATATGCAAAATAATATAATATAATAAATGTAGTTACCAATTTTTGAACCAAAAGAACTAAACAATGTACCAGTTAGAAGAAATTCTCTACCAAGAAGCAATGCAGCTTCAAACATTAATACGAAAGCCTGCATGCAAAGAAAATAGAAATAATCATTAGAGAAATAATTTGTTGAAATCATCACAATTTTAGTGCATCTATTTATAATTAGACTACGCAAAACTATTTATAAATCGAAACACTTTTAGGATTTAGTCAATTCACCAGTAGTAGTAGAACATGAACGCGAAAAACAGAAGCTGAAATATACGGCCGCGCTTTGTGTGCTTTTTTTGTTCGAATTTAGACAGACTAACCCAATAATCCAGTCGAAAATTCGATTGGAAATTCGGATAGGGGTTACAACTCTGAAAGTTGGCAGAGTAAATGTTGGAAAAGCCGGCCCTCCACGGGTGCACTTTCGAAAAAACGACTTTTAATTAAATTCACGTGAACGAAACTATGTGTAAAGAGACGGGGATGATTGGAAATTGGGCATTTAAAACAACTGCCATTGTCCCCCCTTGGAATCGTTTGTGGACTTTTATAGTTGGTCTTTGCATCTGTAAGAACGTTGTAAAAATTGTTGTTTCGGAGATAATTTTGTTTTTTGTCCCAGGTACCAATCTATTTAACGTGGCAGCACATGAAATAGGACATTCGCTGGGACTTTCTCATTCCAATGTGGAGGGCGCGCTCATGTACCCCTGGTATTCTGAGATGAAGGATGGATTCGAGTATGAACTGCCCGATGATGATAAATTGGCAATACAATCCTTGTATGGTGAGTTCAGTTGCACTTTGCAAGTTTCATGGAAGCTAAGTAGATTTTTCCGAAGGATTCCGAGGAGATAGACAATGGGGACGAATTCCTCAATACCATCCTCCGCCTCAACCTCCCACTACAACTACGACAACTACTACGACTACGACCACTACCAGCCCTCCTCAAAGAGCTTATCCGAGGAGTCGGTACAATCCCAGGTATCATAAAGGAAGGCATCCGACGTACAACAAGTATGATTAACGCGATTTTTGAGCCTGGTTGGGTATTGATTTTGATGTTTCCAGACCGGAGAAGAACCCCTATAAACCGATGAACCCGGAGAAAAAGCCCCATCATAATCATGGCACTCATGGAACTGATAGGCTTTATCCCAACGACAAACGTCCTTATACAGGTAAAAAGTCCGTCTAATTACACTTTTTCACCGGTTTTATCTCACTCACTTTGCTGTTTAACTAGAGCTTCAGCACAATATGTCTTCATTTTTCTTTAATAGCTTTTGCTCCGTTTTAGGTCACCACAATCCGCCAACGGATCCTCCCTACATCAAACCGACGAAACTGGTTCCAAAACATTTCCACACGACGCATAGACCGACTGAAAGGACCGCAACTTCTTCACCGAAGGAATATCCGAACGGTGAAACTCCGCCGGATACTTGTGATACTTCCTACGACGCAGTGGCTGTGATAAGACGCGAACTTTTTATATTTAAAGATAAGGTACTTTGTTTCCTTCAAGTGCATTACATTTTTCTGATGCTGTGAATGCTTCTTCAGTACTTCTGGAGAATTGGAGACAACGGTCAAGTGACTTCCGGCTATCCGGCAGAGATCAATCGTCTGTTCCGAGGCTTTCCCAAGACCCTCACGCATGTGGACGCAGTTTTCGAAAGGGCTGATGGAAACATCGTTTTCTTTGTTGACGATAAGTTCTACTTGTTTTCGGGAGTCAGTTTGGTGCCCGGGTACCCAAAGCCTCTTACCGAACTAGGTTTACCTAACAATTTGAAGAAAATTGACGGGGCGATGGTTTGGGGCCATAATGGAAACACTTATTTCTTTAGCGGGAAAGACTACTGGAAGTAAGCAAACATTATTTTTTGGGCAAGTTTCTTATGACTTTTAAGAAACTTGCTAGAAGCTAAGCGCCAAAATTATCAGTAAAAGTTCAAGAGAAACTAGGTCTAAATCTCCTGATTTCATGTTGAAGGTTTGATGATAACGAACAAGAAGTAGAGAAGGATTATCCGAGAAAAATTCACCCAATGTGGAAAGGAGTCGGGACAGACATTGATGCGGTCTTTCAATGGAAGGATGGTAAGAGCCAACACGCAATTTACACTTTTCTACAAATTTTCTGACTGGCCGACACGAAAAAAACACCTGAAAAAGTACACGCTACTAACACACATTCAATTCAACACTCGAAAGAGCGCAAATAAATACGTGAAAAACACTTTAAAATTCTCAAAATTGCTTGCAGGTAAAACCTACTTTTTCAAAGACAAGGGATTCTGGAAATTCAACGATATCCGCATGAGAGTCGATCATTACGAGCAGAAGCTGTCGGCACCCGTTTGGATGGGTTGCAAACACAACTTCGAACAGAACGACCTCAACCAGAAACTTCCCTACACCGATAGATCGGGAGGATCAGCCCTGAGCTCAGTTAACCAATTGCCGTTCATTTCCTTTGTAGGATTGCTGTTAGCGATCGTTCATTTATTATAGGATACAGTTTGAGGTGAAATTGATTGTGATAAAGCAAAAATTGGGTATTTTTGTAAGTAGGTATGTAAGTCTGTTTTTGTTTGCAGAAAAACTGTTTTTTTGTTTCCCGAAACAGTGAAATGTCATTTAAAGACCAATAAAATTAATTAATTTAGTGCCAAATACTCAATTTAAAAAGTCTCGAACCGCTCATATAAGTAGCAAACTTTTCAGCCTCGATTAATTAAATCTATTTGTAGTTATGCATTTTCCTGTAAAATTAGGCCGCTGTGCAATAACGAAAATCGTCCGATTTGATTTGAAACAATTGGTTTAATTGCCATTTTCATACACATTAACTTACTACGCTTTAGAACTGCACTGATGGGCAAACAGGTTCAACCATTTAAAATCTCATTTTGCATGTAAACAACGCATGCCTATCAGTGTACTAGATATCATTTTTTTTAAGTTATCATAGGGAAACTGACGAAAATTAAAACCTACTAAGTCATTAAGACTGAGCCAGAAATAATACTAACAAGCAATTGACCTGCTTTTCACTGCCTTTTAATTAGCAATCGCATCAAAAATACGTTTGTGATACTCGCGATCGCAAATGAATCTACCATCATGTTCTATGATTTTTAAACTTTAGGCGTTTAATTTCTGTGATATTTTTTATAACCATTTTTTAAAACTTGTATACTTAGCCTGTAGTCATGCGTATCACGAGATTTATTTACTGCATTTGTAATATTAATTTCACCGATTAACTCTGAAGATACACTGTATTGGAAATGTCCTGCTTAGGATATTTTAGTTTTGGGGTAAATTTCTAATTGAGCCAATCAGCCAAACAATCTGGCTTTACATGATTATCAGAATAAATACCATTTCAATTTGTAATTTAAGAACGTTTTAGTTCTTGTACAGAATAACTATATTAGAATTAGCCTTCGCCACTGCTGGTGAGTATTGTAAAACCTACAAGGTTTATAAATAGAGCAAACTTTCTGAATTTAGTGCCCATCAAGTTACCGAAAGTAATTAGCTGCACTAACAATTCCTGGTGATTTTGTGGACTTTTGAAGGGCACTTTGTATGTATATACGAAACCACATATTAGAATATAACATATTTATAAAATCCTATTCATTAAAAAATAATTTTTTAATGACGATTGTTTTTTTATTCCCATGTTATTGATCCTGCTCTGAAGCACCGATTAGTTTTTGAAGATATGCACCGCACTTGGATAAACACTAATAAAAAAGTCTTTCCGTAAAAGTGAAAAAAACTTTATTTTTGTCATTTTCGCTTTTATCCAAACAAAATGTATATAAAACTGACGAAAAATAAGTTGCTGTTTACACAAAGATACAAAAATAATATCAAACAATCGCTTCATGTAAAAAAATATACCGCTAAATAAATTAAACATCGGGAAAACCTCATTCATACCTTGTAAAATGAAGCGTACAATCAGCCTTTTCAATGAAACTAGGTACTTTTCTGTAATACAAAAATCAATCTTTTTTATTTATAATTATTTACAATAAAACAAATTATATTTCTCAGAATATTGTGAGTTTGTAGCAAACTTGAACCTTACTGGTGCGCACTAATTCAAATCAGTTTGTAATGATAAACACTAACAATTTGGCTTCAATAACAAAATCGCAAAAAGTGATCTGTTTGGAAACTGAACAACTGAATATTTGAGACTGAAACCGTGAATAAATCTTAATTAATTTTCCTCTGCCTTAGTATCACACATTTCAATTTAATACAATTTTAACAACCCTATATTAAAGCTATTTAACATAAAAAAATCAAATGAGACACATTCACGTGTTCCAGAATACGACTAAAGATATGAAAAATAGAATATAAACTTGATAAATAATGACTTAGGTATTAAGAGGCAACCCCAGTTCTCGAGATAACAACAATAATTTAAAAAACTAAACGGCCAGTCGCTTTATAAATTCCAATGTAAAGGAAAATGTAAAGCGACGTATATGTTAATCGACTAAAGACAGCAATTTTATTGTAAGGTACATACCCCCGTTGGTTTCATCATCTGTACATTGGAACTCTTACCTAAACTCGTATATTTGTATGGAGTTTTCAGGCACGTGTGTTAGATTTAACGATTGATACCTGGAAGTGCAACATAAATTAACTTTCCCTAATAGCCCAAGAGTAATAATTCTAATAATTTTTAGTGTTGGAAGATGAAGACGAATAATGTTGTCTCTTGATATGCCACGATGAGATTGGTTGATTTAGAGAACATTTTCCACCTCAGATTTGAGCCCAATTGTGAACACCAACACCGCTTACCAGGCAAAAACGACTGCTTTTTCCGCATAAATTTTCAATCTGTATTTTACTCCGTGGCAAAAGTGAAATTAATTTGTCCTTATACTGGAAATTCCAACATATATAATTCGATATCGATTATCAAGACGCCAAAATGAGTACTTTCACAGGTTTGCTTTCGCCTTTAATATCCACAATAAAGTTCAGCAACGAGCCGGATATACACCCACAATAAGCGTTTATGTACGTGGCAACAAACTAAGCAATCATAATAAATAGAGGTACTTACCATTCCGAACTTCTATGGTAGTAATATCCTTCTATAGTGGCTTTGGATTTCTGGAAGCATATGTAATAAAACCCAGCAAACGAGGCGCCGCTGATATCTCGAATCGTGTGATCTGGTACCAGAAAGTGCTCTTTCCACCGCATAAACACATAATCCGCATCACCCAGTTGGGTATAGTCAAAGTTATCCGAATTGAAAGTCTTTACGTACTGATTAAACTGCGAGAATTTGCCCTACAATTCAAAACAACCGTATTTTTGAGTATGTATGTAAGTGAGTAAGTGAGTATGTGAGTAAGTATTTTTGAAAGTGCTGCGTACCCAATGTTTCCTATCGACTTCCTCATCAGCATCCCACTTCCTGGTCAAAAACGGATACTTTTGACTGATGATTTCCCCATCGAAGAATGTGGTAAGTTTGGGGTATTCTTCAGTTAAGCCATTGATTTGAAGATATCCGCAAAGGTACGAGTTTTCTTCATCTACATTCTATGGAAATAGACAAGGGTTTTAGAATGAGCGTTCATTATTGGCTGATGATTCTAAATTATTGATTCGGAGCAGCATTATTCGGGTATTAGCAATGTGAAACAACAAAAAGTTTCTTAGGGCTAGTGATGATGCAAAAGTGACGGATTTGGATTTGTTTTTTTTTGTGTTTTGGGTAAGTTTGATTTTTCTTAATTACGATAAATGGCATTTTTGATCAAGGAATTCTACCTATTAGTAAGTATAGGTTGGATCACAGGGTCGGATTGCCAAAATCAAGTAAACAAGTGTATTTTTCCGGTTTATACGTTCGTCGCATTTGAAACTGCTAATTTTATAGTGTCGGATTACTACGAGGGGCTGAACCGAAGAGATAATATTCTTAGAAACAACTTTTCTAGTGGTGTTTTTAGCGACAATGCGGTTTTCGACCATTTTTCGCGCATCGAAATTCACAACTTTTCCATCTTGTTCGTCAGGTTGGAACATTTTCCGTATTTGCCTTTTCTACAATACACACTTTTCGCACGTATTTGGATTCGTTTAGATCCATTTCTGCACATTTTGTTCTTTGTTTCAAAGTCTCAGAAACTGCCAACACTCGCCAATAAGTAAAATTAGGAATTTTAATAGTCATCAAAAATTTGATGCAAAATCATGTCATGGGGGTCATGTCATCATCCTTTATCTCATGGAAAAGTAGTGACTTTCTATAAGCGAAAAGGGATTGAAAACCATATTTTGGCCAAAAACATAACTAAGAAAAGTTGTTAAGAAAAATATTATCTAATAGGTGAGCACATTTTAGCCAGACATGCCAAGGCCTGATGTCCTTGACAATTGCTAATAAAATAAAGACCTCTAAATACAACAGGTTTTAAACAGCAATTTTAAGCTCCTTGAACACTGCTTGAAACAGCTGAACTGCTCCTGAACATGATTTAGAGGACTTCGCCTCAGACAATCCCATTTTGTGTAAATCCTACAGGTGTAGTACGTGTTTTGAGCGTTTTTTCGAGTTGAAACTTTTCCATAGTGTATATAAAGTGGGAAGATGATCAGCCAAACTATTGTCATTGCTGATAAATGCGGCATTTGAGGCAATTATTCGATATTTATTATTAAGATCCCCTTGAATATAGGTTAGGCCTGTCACTGTTCCGATAACCTATATTTGTGCTTTAAATTTCGAGCGCGGTTCAAACGTTTGCAAATTGAAATGAAAAAGGTTGAACGGTGCCATTTACCTGTAAAACCACCTCGACTTCGTATGAATTTCCTTTACTTTTCTGGAAACCCTGAAATTTGGATCCATTATACAATAAACTTTTGGTTATTCCAGGCTGTTTGGAATTGGCGGGTGGAGGCAATGTGGGATCCACCCTCACCGGCATTCTAGACAGGTACACGTCTGATTTCCAGGCTTCTTTGCACTTTAAATCAAGCAATCACAATCACAATCGGAAAATTTCCACACAAAGTTAAGAAAGAATGACAAACAAAACCCGAAATGGCTTTTCCCTTTCCACTACTAGTGTTGAAATCGAGAACTTTCCCAAAATGTCATGTGCCAACCAGTGGCGTGCTCACAGATTCTTTTTAACTCTTATTGGGCGTGCCCAAGGATTTTCAACTAAAAATAGGACTGATGCAGTTTTGGCACCATTTAACTTTCGTAGTTTTCATAGAGAAACAGAGAGGTCACAAATAAGCACTTTTAGTTAAACCAAACGCCGAAAGATGGCAACGGCTCATCGGTTCTATGGCGAACTCTATCCGTCACTTCTCAAGTAGCAGCTTCTATCGAAACGCCAGCTATATCTGCGGCGTTTCGATTCAAATAGAACTTCGAATCTATGTAATGTTCGAGTTTGATTCAGATCCCTAATACATACCCCTGTTGGTAAATAGAAATTTTGTTTTAAATTAACGTAACCTCAAACTGACTTGCGCATTTCATTTAAGCAAGGAGTCAGTTAGAATATATGCGCTAGTGTGGTGTTGATCAGACAGATTAGAACATACTTGTCTTCATCTATGGATCAGAATTAAAAATAACGTGAAACACTAAAAGCAAGTTGATAGAAGCAGCCAGAAATAACGCTTGATTAAAATATAATTTAAAAAATTGATGACTGGGCAATTTCATTGGACAATTGGGAAAGTAATTTGTTGAATAAATCGTACTGAAAGTGCTCCTTCAAACACTATTATAATTTATTTATCTTCTATTAGGTTTTAACAGAATATAGTCAAATCTTAGAACTAAGTACCTACATTTTATATTCTAAATCTGAAATTAGCTTATTTTATTTAACTATATTACAATCCCATATTTGATAATTTGTTCGGGCTCACTGCTGGAAACAATTTCCAGCCGAAAAAAGTCCCGACAAGTTATTTAATCTTAACATTTGCCTGCCATCTTCGAGCATACCGCATACTTATTTCCAAATCTAACGTATACATAATGATGGACACGTTAAATAATTATTTATAAACCTTTATTGACCATTTTGTTAATACATCAAGATTTTGAAGAACAAAAATCACGAACTGCATTTTTTGCTTAGCGGATTAAATCAAATGAAGTAAACTGAACAGTCACAATTTGACAATTCAATTGAAAATACTGCAGTGATATGTAATATAATTGCTATATATTTAATACAATCTCGAATCACAATATGTTGAAGATTGAAATAATACGCATTTATTGATCAAGTCAAGTCAAGAGTCATTTAGCGTTAAAATCCGAAAGAATTTTTATACACTTTTTGTTCGAATAAATTGATATAATTTCCATAAAAGAAATACATATACGTTTTCTGAGCCATTTGGTTGATGATACGGGGTTTCAGTTAGAGTGAGGACCATAATAAATGATGGACAATTGAATTGACTGAACCGCTGCCAAGCTGCAATTTAGATATTTCCATATTTAATATCGAGGTTTTACAATCATAAATTTAAACATTGCAATTATCGAAAATGCCTCGATTTATCCAGCCTATTTAGAAATATCTAAATTGGTGTAGCAAACAAATCTGATATTTGGAATAATAACATTAGAGGTAAAAATATGTATTTATTGTAAGTATACATAGGTAAATTGTTATGCAATCTTCAACCACACTCGCAAGTAGAATAATCGACTATTGTTAATAGAATAGGTAGTTTTCTAGGACGATGGGAAACAAGTAATTTTCCAAGAACGGTCAAAACCTAAAAAACTTATTCTGCTATTAAAGCAATTGGAAGTTTTTAAAGAAACTCACCAAATAAATAGGGGTACGTCTGGAAACTCAATAGCATTTTAGTGACTTCTATCGAATTCATTCCGTCCAGTCAATAATAACATAAGTTGATTCCAATCGGGATCACTAAGTCGATCTGTTGTCGAATCTTGGTAGTAGTAGCTTGGAATTGCCATTTCCGAAGACTTTTTGCCCCTGCAACACCAACTAATTTATTAGCTTAAAAATACGCTTGGTAAAATTAAATTTTCAATTCCAAAACTAAAAAAAAACTGTATTGAATTTAACGAATTAGTTCCTGAACCAAAATACATTTTTTGCCTTTCGTTCTACATAAATGTGTAGGCGCACTCTAATAATATTTTTATTCCAAAAATGCCTGATTTACATACCTGACTCCTACAAATTTGCCCCTGAATTCATACGGATATTTCTTTCCACGCATGCCGAAAAATCCAGAAGGATGTTTCTTTCCCCGCATGCCAAAGAATCCGGATGGGGCTCGTTTGATGTCTTCATAGTAGCCGATGGGATTTTCAAAATCTTTTTTACCTGAAAATTCCCAAAATCTTCACGTAAAATAGGACAATTTTAGTGGAGGAATACCTCGCATTCCGACGAATCCCATTGGTGCCCTTTTCTCTCCTTGATAATCTGTCCACAACTTTTTGCCTCGCATTCCAAAGAATCCCATTTGCGCCCTTTTTTCTGGCTCATCTGCGAAAGAAAATGGAAAATAAATGCTCGATTGTGTTAAATTGGTAAAATCAACAATTTTTTGCTCAAAAAACAATGCAACTTGGATTTGAATTTGTCAAGATTATTTTCGGTATTTTAATGTTTGGTTTAGTTAGTAATTTATTTGGCTTATTAAAGTGCACTGAAATTTAGGTGCCAGTTTTGGGCTTCTTTCCATGTTTCTGGTTAGAAAATTTTCTTTCGTAGAATTGTGCTAAAGCAGTGATTTTCTATAATCCGTCTCGACCCCTTTCGGTGGACGAAAAGGCTATTTTAAGAAAACAGTTGATTCAAACCAGCCTCCATCTAGAGCAGAACACTAAATTTTCAAACTCTATTTACTCATTTTTGCTCAGAAATTTTACCAGTTATTTAAATCAATTTTATTGCAATAAAGTTTCATCATAAAAATTACCCCAAGTGACTTCATCATCCTCCAAGCTATCTTTCTTTCCTCTCATGCCCACAAAACCCATGGGGGCGCGTTTGTACAATTCTTCTGGATAATTACTGGACTGCAGAAAGTTCCATGGCTTTTTGCCTCTCATTCCAAAAAAGCCTGATGGTGCTCGCTTCTCTACAATATAGTTGAAGGAAGCAGGAGCTTCCGTATCAGATGACGGTGTATATTCGGTTTGCTGAAAATATCAAGAGTGGTTAGATTCTTGCTTTAAAAGACACTTTTCTGCTCCTCTTTCCTCTTTAAATTTCCGAGCCGCTTCCAAACGCAATTCTTTACACTTTAAGACTTTTTTTTTAGTTTTAAAGCTAAGGTTTTCTGAGTTAATCCTGAATTTGATGATGCAATTTTCAAACTTGTATATTTGGTATTTTCACTATTCATTAAAATTTGTTCTAATATAAACTTTGATTTGAGTGAACAAAATTAGGTCCATTTTTTCATTAGTTTCCTTAGTAAGATCCTTAATAAGTTACTCACTTGTTCTATAGAGTTACTATTGTCCAAATCAGCTGAATAAGCCTCATCAGGTATTGACTTTTTGCCCCTAACTCCTGTAAATCCAGATGGAACTCGCTTGTGATGTTCATCGGCCAAGCAGCAGGTTGAAAGTAATAAAGATATGGAAATCCAAGTGGTGAACGGTCGTATGGACTTCATGCTGCAAAGTCTTTAGGTGGCAGCAAAGCCTGAAAAAACAGTCCATTTTAAGGAAACAATTGCTTTCTTAAATAATCATTTTTTCATCAGATTACTTTGGCCCAAAAGAAACCGAATTGCCATCCCAACAGCGGTTTTGATAACTCCATAATTTTTCATTGGTCTCGTTAAGATTTTTCCAGCTATTTTTGCATTTTTATGAGCTCCTTTACCACTGTATCGTGTCAAGTGGAAAATCATTAATCTTCAGCTAATGGTCGGTAATTTTTATAATTGTGCCGTTTTCTTTGCTCGCTTTTCTTACTCATACTTTCCACCTGTTTGACTCCCATGAAATATGTTATTGCTTAAGCAGGACAATAATATTTTCAACCCCATTGAATCACTTGGGGCCAATGGAAAATCCATCATTTGCCAATATTTCATGAAAAGAAAAAGTTGCGTTAATTGATTAACGGGAATTTCGGTTTTATGAAGCATTTTATTTTGATTTGTTAAAGCTTTCAATGGATAAACATTTTTTGGTTCTCCGTTTTTTTTATTGGTTTTTATTTTCCTGTAAAAAATGTTGCTGCTTTTTTGCGATTATCATCAATAAACTAATTATCTGGAATCTGGGAAATTTCTTATGTGTGATGTCATTCAATCAAATCTACAATTGTAATTTTTTGGTGGATGGAAAAGCTTGAAACTTGAAACTACTTTAATATGTAACATATGCTTTTGAAGCTATTTTAAACTGCACACAATTACACTAAAAATTTCCAACTTTTTTGCCCCATAAGTGCCCGTTCCATTAGTCCCCAACTTTTGTCTATTTCCAGTTTATTACAACAGCATATGTTTAAAAGAACAGTTGATTAAATGCCACAAAGGCACATTGTCCATGTTCGGTTGACTATACTATTTCGAGGAGATTTTGCTTCGTCAAGTTCCATTTCCTCATGGAGCTAGACAAGCCCCTTTATACAATGCGACACAAGGCATCTCCCTGGGGTTGGCAGACTGCCCAACTTACTGCAACAGGTCTTTTCTATTAGGAAACATTTTTCCCTTAAAATGGGAAATGGCTTTTCGAGTTTTAGACGTGCTCAACATTGTCATCTCCCCAATTGTTGATGTATTGGATAGGACGCTTCAAGTACATACATGAGTTTTTTGACAAAAAAACCTATTAAAAGTGATCTCAGCTTTCCATCTTTTTTTCGGTTAAAATTACTAGGAAATACCAGAGTGTAAAGAAAATAAGTAGAATAAATGAATAGGTAATTAATTTGGTTTAAGAAGTTGTGTGAACAATTTGCGTGATTTTTTCTCCAAAAGTATTTATATATATTAATTAAAAAAAAATGGGATAATATGCGTTGTAAAAATAAAAGCGGTATAAGTAGGATGCGGTGTACTGAATTTTTAAACCTTTTTTGAGTAAAACATAGTACACATTCATAAACCTTCTTGATTTTTGCGCCAAACTTATAATATTTGAATTTTAAAATCGA